ACGGCAAGGCTGGGCCCACTCGCGACTCTGATCTCGGCAAGCTGCGCAACAAGGCCACTCTGGACTTGGCGCAAAAGGCTGAGAAGATGATGGACGACGCCCGAGACATGTGCGTCGCGCATGGCATCAGCCTGAGGTCAAAGCTGCAACTCACCTGCGAGAACGACATGCGCCTAGTCCTGCACCTCTTGCGGAAGGGCAAGAGCAGCCGCGAGGGAAAGGACTTCGCCACGTTGGAGGAGGCCGCCCAGGTATTCATCGACGCGCTCGCCGACATCAAGGGACAGCCGATCGACAACCCGTGGATCAACCGCTGTCGGGCGACCGTCAAGCAAGAGCCCAAGGTGATTTCTGGATGCACGCGTTCCGACTCCGTCGAAATTCAGCATTGCCCAAAAACCGGCCTTTCTGGCACGGGCGATGGGCGATGATGACGATGGTGATGATGAGGGGGTGGAGGGGGAGGAGGTGGGGGGAAGCCGAACGGGAAGTAGGAGGAGGAGGGGGAGGGGGAGGGGGAGGAGGAGGAGAAGGAGGAGGAGGAAGAGGAGGAGGAGGAAGAGACATAGGAAGAGCTTTTTCATCACTGAAGGTGCGATCCGCGTCGGCAGCGCCGACTCGGAACGCCGCTCTGCTGCAGCAGGTGGAGACGCAACCCCCCAGGGCGAGCGTCGCCACGCAGCAGATGTCAGACGTGAAGCCTGCGGCCTACCAGATTCAGTGGCTCGGGTACAAGGCCGGCTCGATCATCAAGCCACGGAAGGCCGACCAGAACAGCAGCGCTTGCGCGCTGTGGACTATCAAGGAGATCGGTGAGGCCATCGCCACGATAGCACCGACAGGAGTCCACGCTGATGGCGAACCTCTCGCGCTCGTGTTTGGTAACCTGAAGGGCATGTGGGTGCCCACGACGGCCAAGCCTCAGGAGGTGCTGACGTTTAGCAACATGCTGCCGTCGCTGAACACCAGCTGGCGCATCGAGCACGTGAAGTTTCAGATTTGTTTGTGCCTCACTGCAGCGAGCGAGGAGTCCGAGACAAAGTTCTCGGGGCGCAAGATCTACACGAATCCGTTCGCCATCCAAGCGTTGCAGGTCTTCGATCCGCACGCTCTCGCGACGCCGCCTGTCACTCAGCTTGTGAAGCACAGGGGCCCGAACACTGCAGCCCCTGATAAGGCTGTCGACCTAGGAGTCCTCATGAGCAAGCCCCCGACGGCATTCCACTTGATGCCGCAATTCGTCACGGGGAAGCAGAGTGGCCAGGACTTCGTCAGCCCATTCTTCTGCGTGCCCACTGATAAATCCCCGAATATGTCCAGGGTCAAGGTTTCGCACGACATTCAGCTCACGATGCACCCTGGCGACACCCCTGAGCATTTTACGATCCAGTTTCCAGTGTTGAAGAACACTGCCAAAGTGAAGGCAGGCGCATTTTTGTCACAGGGGTGCGCGCAGAAGCGCACTCGCGTTGGCCCTGACGCCAACGAACAGTCACCCGCGAAGCGTGGGCGCTGAACTTTTTTGCGCGTGGTGGCGCAACCATTGTGTGACATGCTGTTTCCTGTGCGCAGGCAGAAGCTTGTGGTTCGCTTCTCGTCAATATGTATGTTCACACTGTCTGCGTGAACTGTAGATCGCTCAAGTTACCGTTCGCACGCATCGCAGGCTAGCTGCGATGAAACTCGAGCAGGCTGAAGATGAGGCTTGGATAGAGGAGAGGGAGGATCAAGGATATGAGGATGAGGAGGATGTGAAAACCGAGGGGCGGAGAGGATGATGACATGACAAATACGGCGAGGAGACAGTACGAATGCTCGGGAAGACGCGAACTCATTTTGAATTTATTTCCGAGGCGAGCAGCCTCCACGCATTTGATCAACCAGCCATGGCGCTGGAACCCGATGGCTAATCATCGGAGGCAACGGCCCCTGTCGGTGGCTGGAGTTTCGCCAGCGCTTCGCGCACATCAGAGATCACAAAGACTGACAACCCTTCCTCCAATGTTCTCCCCCCTCTCGTGTTTATAATTATCCGTGCCCTGACCAACCCCCGATGGGGCTCCGACAGGGCCCAACGCGTTTCCAAGACAAGCCAAAGGACGTGCCACATCAAACCAAGACAAGCCCATGACGACTTAAACAAACTGTTTCCAAAACGGCCCAAGACGCTACAACGCGCATTCGTCTTCGGTGGGTGGATCAATACTCGGTAAGGCAATCAGGTAGACATGTCCTAAGATAAGAGACCCTGGATTCGCATCCACGACATGGGCCTTAATTTACCCACCCACCCCCATCCCCCATGCTACATCCCCACCATCGCGCAGCATGCGCCCCCCCCCACAACAATGTCATCATCCACGTTGCCATCGACCCAAGGGGGGAAGGGGGCAGGAGACATCGCCACATCATGCAAGACATCACCATCATACGTACAGCCATTTCGGCAAGAAGCCAAACTTCGAGGCTCACACTGTGTGTTCCGCTTTCTTTACAGTAAGCTTGCTCCTGCGATGGCTCCCAAAGCGTTGGAGTGCCCCCCCATCGCTTCTTTGAATGAAGTCATCTTCACCAAGACTGTGAACATCAGCAGCCCATTTGGCTATGCATCGTGGGACGTCGAAGTACAATGTGTCGGACGCCAGGAGTTCCAGCTCAAGCGTGGCGACAAGAAGATGCAGGACTGGCTGCTTCGCACCAAGGTGTACTCCACGATCGCCTCCACACTCATTGACGAGCTCATCGAGCTCCAGTCGTCAGCCAGCAAGGGAGAACTCGGAGGTGACGCTGAGACGGGCGATGCCACACAGTTCCGCCGCAAAGCTGGCGTCTCGGCTCTGAAGCGGCCCCAGGAGGGCCACGAGAGCTCGTTGGTCTCAGTCACGCTGCCGCCCTTCAAGACTCCTCTCGGCGAGACCGTGCCCGATGTTAAGACAGTGATGCCACTTAACATCGCGCCCGGCATGGCGATGATCTCCCTCGACCCCAAGGTGCTCCAGTGGGCGTTCCTGAGGGCTCACGCGCTCGAGCGCCCTTCCAAGAAAAGCGACGTCAAGGCGCGGGACAAGACTGAGAAGCTTGCAGCGATCAAGCGCCTCAAGGCATCGAGCAGGCAGTTCGCGGGGCCTGATAGTGACACCGAGGCGGCTGCCGATGGAGATGACAGCGCTGCCGCTGGCTCTGAATACAAGGGTCCCTGAGTTCCCTTGTTTCTCTAGGATTTGGATTGAGCTCGCTGCTTTAGCAGCGCCCCAGGAGGAGGAGGAGGGGGAGGGGGAGGAGGTAGGCATGAGGAAGAAAAGGGAGGAGGGAGAGAGAATGAGGGAAGGATGGAGGAGGGAACGCTGCTCAGTCCCTGTTGCGACATGCCTTGACAAGGCATGGCAACTTCTGCCCAGTGCGCTTGCAATCGCGCATGCGTGGTGCTGCTAGTCGCGTGTGCGACGGGTACCCACATAAGCATCAACACCATCATCACCATCGTCGTCATCATCGTAACCGTTCTTGTTGAGGCCTACGCAACAACTGCACAATCCCGTCTCGCTTCGGGGCTGGGGGTGCGCATTTGGATGGGAAGGTTAAGTGAGACGCTGCCTCGGATCATCTTCACCACGGCTGGATTGACCTTTCCCTCGCTGTGATAACAGCGTGATCCTGACTTCCCATCCGTCGGTTGGCTATTCAGGCTATCGTCGTCTCGGCTGGATTCGCCTCTCCCTCGCTGTGGTCGCAGCGCGATCCCTCCCCCCCCAACCGTACTTGGGCAAATCGGGTTGGCGTCGTCACGGCTGGATTTGCCTCTCCCTCGCTGTGGTCGCAGCGCAACCCCGACCCCCAAACAGTCTGTCTGAGTACCGTTTCGAGTGCGTGCTGCTGGCGTCTAAAGACCTCGATCTCCGAAGGAACCAGTGCCTTGGTGGTCTCGATTGCGTGTATCTGAAGGAACTTTCGCTTAGGACCGACCTCACTTTCTAAAATGAGAAATTGATGCTAATTTCTCATTTGAGAAATTGGGGTTGGTCCGGAACGCCCACAATTTCTAAAATGAGAAAGTGGGGTTATTCCAGACTGACCTCGATTCCTCAAATGAGAAATTCAGGTCGTCCAGTGGCAATCTCAATTTCTAAAATGAGAAATCCAGGTCGTTCAGTGTCAACCTCAATTTCTAACATGAGAAATTGGTGTACTTTCCATTTGATTTAGTAACAACTGTGAGATCAGTGCTTCAGCCCTTGTATGGACCGAATACTTGAGATGATGTAGCGTTGAAATGCATCGTGATTGAATATGCGCCAAGTGATTCCGAACATATCCTGGGGCCCCGTCTTTACGTTTCCCCGCAGTTTAAGAACACTCGAACTCATAGCTCTGACATCCCCACATGATACAATTGATCTACCCTCACTTCCGTGTCAATATCCAACTCCTCCTGCATGTTTGGATACTCCGGGTGCGTGTAGCCTATTTTGGCTCAAGAATTGGTTTTGGCAGAGCGATCCTTTCTTTGGCGCCCACGCGGTCTGGTGATCAGTGTCACGCTATGTCCACGCTTGAGAAAGTGCTTGCGGAGCTCAAGGGTGCCTCCAACCTGATTGCCACGCAGAGTGACTTGCGCGGTGGTCCAGACAAGATCACCACGCTACGCTCCTCATTATGCTCGTCCTTGTCCAAGATGATTGCGGGCATTTCGATGCCGTTAGACAGCACTGGTGCACGAGAAATTCTCCAGGCAATAATGGTTACGTCCTTCGACGAGACTCAGAAGACATCCTTGTCCAATACAGTGGAGGAGAAGCTGCTCGGTTCCTTCAAGTCATCCAGGCTCGGACCACACGAATTCCAGGCTTGGCAAAAAGGGTCGAACCACGTGTTGAACTATTTCACGCAGTCCGATTACGACATCATCAGCGACCCCGCAATTCCTTTCAACTCGCCCTCCAAGATTTCCGTCATAGTCAATCGGCTGTCGCTCGGAGGCACCCACAAACCGAGCCCCCCCGATGTGCGCTGATTTGGTGGGCACGCTGGCTTCTCATGCGTGGTCGGACGACATAAATGCGAAGATGCTCTATGATGCTGTGTTCGCGATCGGCAAGGACTTCAACGCCAAGAGGGTCAGTGCCGACGCTGCTGTGGGGAGCCTCCCCATCGCGAGGGCAATCCCCGAATGCCCATACGAATTACCGTCCGAGGTCCAAGCTGCCATGCACCCGAACTCAGCAGACCCGCCCGTCAAGCAAGACATCCCCGCATACCACGCCGTGAGAGGCATGGTCCAGCGCAGGTCGTCGGGAAGGCACGTCAGGAACACGCGTCACGTTCCAAGCGCGTCCAGCACGACGTCTCGATGGGCAGTCTCACGGTTGATGAGTTCTTGGCGTCCGCTCAGAGCCAAGGTTTCACGCCGCAGCAGGCATTGCAACAGCTGGCGATGACAGGGCCGCAGCAGCAGCGCCAACCAAGCTGGCACATCGGCGGCGTGGCCCACCAGCAGATGCAGCAGCCACTGCCTCTACAATGGCAGCCTCCTGCTCCAGTGCAGCACTCGCACCATAAGCAGCCTCAGCAGATTGCAATGGTGCAGCAGTCACACCATGGCGTCGGTGCCCATCAGCATACGCAGCCAATCTCAGCCACTTCTGCCAATGACAGTCAGGCCAGCTTGTTTGAAAGTCAAGGGTCTTCTTTTCTCGAAACGCCTGCCAAGGTCACGGTGAAGCCACCGCAGCCAGCAGCCGCCCCAGCTGGTCAACAGTTTGTTGCTGCCCTCGCTGAGTTCGACAAGGGCAAGGACGCCCCCGACGAGGCAGCTGAAGCTGGGCAGAGGGTCAAGGAGATCGAAAACGAGTACGCTGTTATGCTCGCCAAGGCGAAGGCCAAGGCCAAGCAGGCTAAGGTCAAAGCAGCGGACATCACTGACTCGAAGGCTGCCGTGGCGGCTGCTTCAGCGGCGGCTGCACGAGCTGAAGAGCTGGGCGAAGACTGTCCAGCTCTCGATGGTGAGGAGGACCTCGTGACCACACCAGCCCCAAAGGGGAAGGCCAAGGCTAAGGCCAAAGGCAAGGCCAAGGCCAAGGCGTTTCCTACAGAGTCCAAGAGTTTCAACGGGCCTGCCAACGGAGCAAGCGTCGGCCCACCTCGTAAGAGGCCAGCGGCTGCCACTGCCTTGCCCGATGCGAAGCGCCCTGCCATGCCCGTTGTGGGCTCTGTAACTTACCTCTCAGGCAGGGTGTCTCACTCAGCTTCTAAGAACGGATGGAGGGTCTGGCCAGACATCGCACACAGGGGCGCCGAGAAGACAGTCCCGTATGGCGATGCACCCGCCAAGTCTTTTCAGGAAGCTCTCAACATTGTGAGCGCGCATTAGCGCTCGCGCGCATAGCGCATTTTTTTTTTGCACGTTGTGGGTGACGTGCACGCCCTGAACATCAGTACGATTCGTGCCCATATAGCGTGGGAGTGCTATTGCAGGGAAGCATTTAGCCAGCTGAGCTGGGCAAGTTGCGTTTCGTATACGTACCCCGAATTAGACCACGCGACCTTGCGAGGTGAATGTAGCCATCAGTTGCCATATCAAATCATCGCTACCATCATCCATCCAAACTTGGCCCTGTCCCCCCCCCCCCCCCCCCCTCCCCCCAAAACGCACACTGAGGAAGTACGAAAGCTCGAGGGAGCCCCGCAGGCGCCCCGCCCCTAAGGACGCCTCCACGACGCCCCACCCCTAAAGAAAATCCTAAGACGCCCTCTACCTCAGGGAACCCTAACGCGGACATCCCAAAGAAGGTATGCACGAGGTCGCATGGGGCCCAAACAGAAGTCCGAACCAAAGTACGAGATGTCATGACGTTGCACATGTTGCATGTTGCCAAATAGGATACACTAGTTCCCTTAAGGCTCCCAAGCATAACCTTATGTAGTGCATGTGCGCAGCGTGTAGCAATACATTCAACATAGCAAATGGCCGACGTGCAGGCCCATGCAGCTTGTCTACGCAGCAGCACAGCGCATTCGCAACATAAGGAAAGAGAGACACCTAAATGCCTCCCACCCTTCTGCGATATCCACCCCTATACCACCAAGTCTGGTTCTGCAACGAAAGCACACATCCCCATGTGCCCGTCCCCCCTCCATCACAGTGGTTCCGTCCTCCTCCTCCTCCTCCCGCAGCCGTTTTGGCAGAAGTCCAGTTTTGGACCGATGGAGCGGGCTGCAAAGCTTCGCAGGATTTCCGAGATCCGACACCAGCTTCCCCACACAAGTAAGGTAGCCATTGTTGCGTTTATCAAGCTGGCCAACACGTCTGAGATCCCCGATGCATGCTCTACGGCAGACATCCGCGCAGCCAGGGATCAGCAAGCCTTCCAGAACACACCATACGGGCCTGCGATGTGCACAGTGCACATAGAGAACACCAAGGGGAAACGCATTGCTGTTGACATTGCAGACCCAGTGCCGTACTTGTACGCCCTTGGCAAGTGCAGTCGGTGGCGATATTTCCTCGAGAGGGCGAACCAGCGCGCGCCCTGCTCGATTGACAATCCTTGGAACATCATATTGTATGGGGACGAGGCAAAGCCTGGGAACAAATTGAAGCAATGGAACAAACGGGTAACATAAAATATATACATGTCATTCCTTGAGCTCGGCGCAGCAGCACTCTGCAAGGAGGACGCGTGGCTGTGCATCGGTGTTGTGCGATCTGTGGATGTAGCAGAGTGCGAATCTGGGATGGCCCAGCTGGCTGGTGAAATTCTTAACAGGATGTTCAATCCGAACGGCCACGACTTGAGATATGCTGGTGTCCACTGTGACTATGATGACGGGCAGAGCTTCCGCATCCACGCCACGTTGGGGATCGCCTTGGGGGACGAGGCGGCCTTGCACAGCATCTGGCTGTGCAAGGGCAGCGGAGGCATCAAGTGTTGCCTACACTGTGCCAACATCGCGAGCAAAAACTGGGTTGCGGCTGGCGCGCTCGACGGAGCGGTGCATTTGAAGGAGTATTCGAAAGTGTCATCTCTCAGCGAATGTGAGTTCAACACGAAGGCAACTGCGCAGTACATTATCGATGACCTGGCGAGGAGCAGGCCCACCATGAAGAAAGGCGAGTTCAAAGAAAAGGAGCAGCGCCTTGGCTGGACGGATTCTCGTTTCAACATGCTCCGTAGGCCTGAACTCAAGGAGGTGTTGAACCCACCGAAGCAGAACGTGCACGACTGGGCCCACAATTTATTGCAGGGTATATTTCAGCAGGTGTTATTCCTATGTGTGTGGAGTATCAGTCAATCGGGTTTCAAGCCTCATCATATCCTGAAGTTTATGGAATCGTTCTCGTGGCCCAGGCGTCTTTCAAGCAGAGGCGTTTCTGGAATCGATGTGGAAAGCGAAGAGGGCTGACTCGAACTGGAAAAAATATTGGAGTTGCAGCGCCGCGGAGGCGCTGAGCATGCACCTTCCCCTGGCACATTTCTTTAGGACAATGATCATGCCGAGTGGTATGCATGCTGACGCATGCGAAGCGATGATCTCATTATGTACCCTCATACAGATACATTGGAACACCGCAAAATGAAAGGTTCCAGCAGCAGTTGCCGATAAGGCCACGGAAAATTTTCTGCGCGCTTACAAGAAGGCGTTCGGCACCGAGGGGTCATTATGGAAACGCCATGCCATCCTACACCATGCCCAGTATGTCTCCAGGTGGGGGTGGCCTCCACACACGCTCCCTCTTGAGCGCAAACACAAATCGATATTGAAGTTTGGGGAGGACCATCAGAAAGATACGAAATCTGTGATCCGCGAGGTTGTCGCAGAAAGCTCCCACAACCTGCATGACGCTCCTTGGCTGAATTTAGATGTAGGTCTGATCGGCCCGTCTGCGGCCACCGCCAAGCTGGCATCGTTTTTGACAGCCACTTTTGGAACAACACGCCATCAGACGTCTTGCAAAGCAAGATTCAACGAATTCGATGTTGCATGGGTTCGTGACATCATAGCGTTGAAGTGAGCAGATGGTTGGATAGTGGCCCGCGTGATTTGTTTCGCATCGACGTTTGATGTGAGTTACGCTGCGGTCCAGCCGTTTCGGCGTGTGGAATCGCACGCGTGGCACAGCACTTGGACGAAGTCTTGTGAGCCAATGCTGGCTGACTTGGATGATTTCCTTGAAGTGTTTATGTTTTGTGGCAACGACGCCCTGCTCACTGTACTTCACCCGCTTGCGTTGGTCCAGTGAAACGACATTTGTTATGTTGCGCAATCAGCCAGGCTGCTGCCAATTCCGCCAGACCCCACTAGGAAAGCAAAGGCTCCTCCTCCTCCTCCCTCCTCCTCCCCCTCCCTCCCTCCTCCTCCTTGCCGCCTCCCCTGTCTCCTCTCCCTCCTCATCATCACAATCCTCTTATCCCAGTCCTGCCCATCCATTCAACGTCATCAACTTTGTTGTCTTCACCTCCTCCTCCTCCTCCTCCTCCTCCTCCTCCCCCCCCCCTCCTACTAATTCTTTCCGCCCTCATCATCCCTCTGCTCCTCCTCATCCTCTTCCTCTTCCTCTTCCCGCTCTCTCCTCTTCACCTTGACCTCCTGGGCCCTGTGGGCCAACGCGGGTTGGCTTGGGCCGTCTTACTGGCTTGCGAGGCAGGAATGGAGCCGTCTTGAAGCCTGATTGGGCTTGATCCTGGGACCCCACTGCATTCGAAACGCTGCTACTTCGGAGGTGCTCTGAATGGGGAATCTCAGAAACTGGCAGCGCCTGCTCAGAAATTCTGGACACTGGAGGCTTAACGTTTTAATTTCGCAGCCTTGAGCAGCGACGTGGTCGGGGGTCGGCAGCGAAGGTTCCACGTTGGGACTGTATGTTTTTTTGCCAGCCCGATATCAAAAAAACATCCCTGGTGCTCCGAAAAAAACCATATCCAGGAAACCGCGCTAAGTGAGTTAGCGAGGTTAGCTAACTCAGTTAGCGGTACTTAGCTAACCTGGCCCAACCCTTGGCCAATTACTTAGCAACTTAGCCCAACACGGAGCTAAGTCGTTAGCAACCGTTGAAAACAAAAAAAAAAAAAAAAAAAAAAAAAAAAAAAAACGCTAACTTGATGGATCGAGTTACACAAGTAGGTGGCCATGTGTTAGTAACGACTTGTAACACAGCCCAAATGGTGCAAGTCGTTGCAAAAGATAGCAAGCCCGCCGACCACCCAAGCGGCCACCAGCACCAGCACCGGCCCCGGCACTGGCACCAGCACCGGCTACCGGCAACCGGCAACCGGCACCGGCCACCAGCACCGGCACCGGCACCGGCACCAGCACTGGCATTGGCACCGGCACCGGCACCAGCACCGGCACCGGCACCGGCACCGGCGCCGGCACCGGCACCGGCACCGGCACCGGCACCGGCACCGGCACCGGCACCGGCACCGGCACCGGCACCGGCACCGGCACCGGCACCGGCACCGGGGCGAGAATCCTTCATGCCTTGTCGGCCAATGGAGAGGGCCTAGAGGCTGGCAGCGCCGACCCTGTTCGCCAGACGGAAAGGCAGATTAGCGATGCAAGAACACAGAGTCGTGTGCTCCTACATTGGCACGTAAGCTGCCCGCGTAAGGTCGCGCGTAAACGCCCTCGACTCTAAGGTGGTGCGGCGCGCTGGCGGCCCGCGTAAACCGCCGCGTAAGGTCGCTACGTCATCTCGCGTAAGACACAGATTTGATCGCCAGTCAGGGCACCAGGCCCAGACCTCAGGTCCAGGCCCCAGGTCCGGACCCCAGGTCCAGGCCCCAGGTCCAGGCCCCAGGTCCAGACCGGTCCGGACCTGAGGTCCAGACCTCAGGTCTGGGCACCGTCTGGACCCCACGCCCGGACCTCAAGTCCGGACCCAAGCAGGTCCAGGCCCCCGGTCTGAGCCCCAGGTCCGGACCCCAGCAGGTCCAGGCCCCAGGTCTGGGCCCCAGGTCGGATCTCAGTTCCGGACCTCAGGTTCGGACCTCAGGTCCGGACCTCAGGTCCGGGCCCCAGTCCAGAGCCCAGCAGGTCAAGGCCCCAGGTCTGGGCCCCACTTCAAGAATATTTGCAGTATGCGTTTGCCACATAATTACAAAATTAGTTCGAAACATACATTGTGAACAACACTTATATGCAGGTCATCTAATCAGCAACAATGTGTTAAATTATTCCATCATGTATGCTGTTATATGTGTGTCGGGTTGGTTGTAAGTGAGTAGAAGCGGCTTACAACTTTGTATATTAGAGTTGTTAAGTACTTGCGAAATTGGTGTGGGGACTCATAACTTAGTTGTGGCCAGCGCAGCAACGCAGAGGATCCGTTTGAAAGATAGCTACAAACGTTAGGCGGAAGGTCTGAACAGTTATGAACAGACATGGAAAGGTTTGAACAATTTGAACACACAAATCCTATATACTAACCAGCAAGCAGAATCCACACTACGCAGCGCGTGTTCCATTCGATCGCTATCGTTTGAACTCTCTCGTACTGCCGCACATTCAGGCCCAAGGCTTGCTGATTTCGCCCATGGCGCCCCCTCGAAATAAGCGGGCGCGGATTCTAGCTGGCGCGCGACATGCTGGAGTGCAGGTTTCGTGTAGAGCCGCTGCTCGAGTTGCCGCAGGTTTTCCAGACGAGGATGAGTCGAAGGGGCTCAACAACTGTTCGATGGCGATTACAACAAAAAGTCAGATCATATTCAATAACTATGGGTACATGCTTCGATATGTGACATTGCCGACTGTAGATGACAAGACAATCGCACGGACAATGATACACTCGTTCTTTCTTATCAATCATTTATGCTCGTTTGATTCGTTCGGCCGTTCCGCCGCTGAGCCCTTGCGAGATAAGGTAGGGCGTCTTATTCTTCGGGGTGACGAGGTTGTTGTTGGGAATCAGCTTAGGCCCGACAACGTGGGGAAGTTCCTTGCGCCCGATTGGACGTTGGGCTAGTTTCCAGAGGAGTTTCGATCTGCAGACGAGGGGCGCGATCTCTTGCAAAAAGTATCAGGCGGGCATGCAGGTGTCCTACAGCAACTCCTGCATTCGACGTTTACCCAAGCTCCGAATTTCAAATGTGGGATACGCTGTTCACATGGCTATAGAAGTTGCGGCACATTTATATTGCGACGCGCTGCCTTGCGTTTCGTGCGGGACGAGAATGCCGGCAAGGAGGCCCGGCGATGTCAAACTTAAATCTGGCGGGGGGCGGGCGGGTGGAAACCGCGATGGCGACGACGGGGCGACGACGAAGAGAGCGGCGGGCAGCATTTGAAGGAGAAGGCGGGCACGGGAAAGGGGGGGCGAGCCAGGAAAGGAGGGGGGGTGGGCGTTGAAGCCGAAAGACGCCGATAGACGCCGCCCCGTGCCAGGAGCCTCGAGGGCGCCGCCGGCTGCCACAGGTGCGGTAAATGCATTCTGCATATGAACGCCGCGCGACCCCCCCGCCCTGGCCATTTCGGGCGATAACTACCAGATGCGATCAGTTGCGCGTGAGTTACGTTTCAGTTACGTTTCAGTTACGTCATACATCATACTACTTTATTTGTTATTTAGTTGTGAATTGGGAGCAATTAACAAGGTCGCCACGGTTTGACCCAGAGTGGGATAGGGGTAGGTTTCGGGGAGTAGGTAGTGGAGACACATGATGCGATATGGTGCAAATCTTGGCGTCGATTAAAGTGTCAAGGACCAACCTTGCACATCCCGCCCGCAAGGGTGGCGTCGAGTCTACAGTGGCGAGCCCGGGAATGCCAGGCATGGCAAGTACGCATTACATTAAAGAGAAGTGATGTCCGAACAATTCGATCACCATGCTGATGAGTCCATGTGGGAATCTCTCCATCGAGTCGAACGCGTTGCAATGACAGCAATTACGCAGAGTGCGATTTCGGAGGTGGAGGTATCGCTCGGACTCTACTATCAACCAGCTGCGCTTGCACATGACAGGGGTTTGCGCGACCACTACCGCCCGATATATACCGCGTATTTTGATTGGATGCATTGTTTGTTGGCATCGGGCGGCCTTGGACAACACCGCGTGAACGGGCTAGCGGTTGCGCTTGGTGCGAACGGGCATAGGCCTCGTCGCTTAGACGAATTTGCGGCCGCGTGCGCGGACGGCAACAAGAGCGAACGTTTCCGAGCGCTGCCTCGCAAGCTTCTCGCTTCGAAAGTAGCGTTCAAGGAGCGCGCGCATATCAAAAGTCTTGCCGCCGAGACCTCGCCGGCCATGGCCGCGCTGCGACACGCGAGAGCACGCTCGCCGATCCGCCGCCCAAAGTAACCCGATGTGCTATTCAGAAAAAATGCACGCCGCGTTCCCCGACATTTGGGGCAGAGGATTTGGGGCGATCATACTGCCATGCGCGAGCGTTCCCAGGCCGCGCAGGTCCTCGGGGGCATCTGCGATACACTCTCTCTCGGAGACGCCGCGGTCGCGCTAGCCGACTTGCTGGCCGATCGCATTCGTGGGCACCGCATGTTGGCGGCCGCCCTGCACGGGGCTGGCTCGATCTAGATAGAGCGCCACCCGACGCATCACGCGCCCGAGCATTGGACGCAGTTTCAACAGAATCTACTTGTTTTCCTGCGAGCGCAGGAACCGTTTGATCAAGGCAGCGCGCCCTCATTACATGACCCAGAAGAACGTTTCGGGATCAATTGCATGCAGGTTGTTTCTGGATCTCGAGGAACGCATCTTCATGGGCGCGCGCGATTAGTCAGTTCGCCTTGCGGGGCCGATGCGCTCTCCGCCAGATCTGGCCGATCGGGCCCCTGCGGCCGAGCGCCCGCTTCAGATTTCCATGGGAGCGCGCGCGCTGGGCGCGAGGGCTCCTCCTTGAGAACGAGGTGATATATGTTCGGTGCGCGTCGGGCTCTCTGTTGGCGTTCCGTTGCGCGTGCCTCCTAGACGCTAGGTATGGCGACAGCCCGACCATGCCATGCTTGTACGCCGTTGGCCGCGCGTATAGCCAGCGGGAAATTAACGGACAAGCTCGGGGCCCCGTCGAGTTGATTGAGCCGATACCAGCGCGACAAATCCAGGAAGTGCACGTCGCCGCGAAGGACGGCCAAAGCATAGCGCCTAAATTGCAAGCGCGGGTAGCGAGGGTGAACGGGCCGAGCGGGCTAGGACACTGCGCTAGCTGCGATGGGGGGATGCGCTTTAGATAATGCATTACGAGGATGATTGATGAGCGAGAAGGGGCGCGCGCTAGTCCCGGCCCTTCTCGGGGTCGGCGCGGCGGCCGCGGTGCGCGTCGCAGTCGGCGACGAGGCCGCCCGGTTGCAGCGGGCGGGATTGGTTGGGCGATTGATGCTAGATGAACAGATAGACTAAACATGTTTGAATTTCTCCAGCCACCGCTCGCAGTGGCTCGCCCTGCAACGCTGCCATTATTTCGAGTCGACTTCAGCCGCGGCGACGACGGATCTCCAGAATGCGCTCGAACATTGAATTACGCTACCGAGGAACCCCACCTACTCTTTTTTCCCAACCCTCCTGCGTTGGGTTCTCGTTTTGAATAGAGCACTGCTCGCGCGTCGCCTTCCTCACTTCCTTCATTCCTTCCTTCCTTCCAGCCCCCTCCCGCCCCTCTCTTCCCCCTTGCCTTTCTCCTCGCTCGTCGCTGCGTGCTGGGGGGCTGCGATATGCGACACTGTCGCCACTTTCGAGGCCTGCGGGGGGGCCCAGCACAGTGGGTACCCACCGCGGCTGGGGGCTGCGATCTGTGAAACTGTCGCCACTTTCGAGGGCTGCTGGGGGGCCCAGCACAGTCTGCACTCGCGGCGGATTCAAATTGGACCTCGCCATCCCTGGGGGGCTGCGATCTGCGAAACTGTCGCCACTTTCGAGGGCTGCTGGGGGGGGCAGCACAGTCTGCACTCGCGGCGGATTCAAAGTAGACCTCGCCATCCCTGGGGGGCTGCGATCTGCGAAACTGTCGCCTTTTTCGAGGCCTGCTGGGGGGCCCAGCACAGTCTGCATTCGCGGCGGATTCAAAGTAGACCTCGCCATCCCTGGGGGGCTGCGATCTGCGAAATTGTCGCCACTTTCGAGGGCTGCTTGGGGGCCCAGCACAGTCTGCACTCGCGGCGGATCCACATTAGACTTCGCCATCCCTGGGGGGCTGCGATCTGAGAAACTGGCGCCACTTTCGAGGGCTGCTGGGGGGCCCAGCACAGTCTGCACTCGCGGCGGATTCAAAGTAGACCTCGCCATCCCTGGGGGGCTGCGATTTGCGAAACTGGCGCCACTTTCGAGGGCTGCTGGGGGGCCCAGCGCAGTCTGCACCCGCGGCGGATTCGAATTACACCTCGCCATCCTTGGGGGGCTGCGATCTGCGAAACTATCGCCACTTTCGAGGCCTGCTGGGGGGCCCAGCACAGTCTGCACCCGCGGCGGATTCAAATGGGACCTCGCCATCCCTGGGGGGCTGCGATCTGCGAAACTATCGCCACTTTCGAGGGCTGCTGGGGGGCCCAGCGCAGTCCGCACCCGCGGCGGACTCAAATGGGACCTCGCCAGCCCAGCACAGTCTGTAACCGCGGCGGACTCAAATGGGACCTCGCCATCCCTGGGGGGCTGCGATCTGCGAAACGGTCGCCACTTTCGAGGGCTGCTGGGGGGCCCGGCACGGTCTGCACTCGCGGCGGATTCAAATTAGACCTCGTCATCCCTGGGGGGCTGCGATATGTGAAACTGCCGCCACGTTCGAGGCCTGCTGGGGGGCCCAGCACAGCGGGTACACACGGCGGACTCAGATTAGACATCGCCACCCTTGGGGGGTGCGATCTGCGAAACTGTCAGCACTTTCGAGGGCTGCTGGGGGGCCCAGCACAGTGGGTACCCACGGCGGACTCAAATGTGACCTCGCCACCCCTGGGGGGCTGCGATCTGAGAAACTGGCGCCACTTTCGAGGGCTGCTGGGGGGCCCAGCACAGTGGGTACCCACGGCGGACTCAAATGGGACCTCGCCATCCCTGGGGGGCTGCGATCTGTGAAACTGTCGCCACTTTCGAGGCCTGCTGGGGGGCCCAGCACAGTGGGCACCCACGGCGGATTCAAATGGGACCTCGCCATCCTTGGGGGGCTGCGATCTGCGAAACTGTCGCCACTTTCGCGGCCTGCTGGGGGGCCCAGCACAGTGACGCCACACGCAGATTCAAATTAGACCTCGCCATCCTTTGGGGGGGGCGATCTGTGAAACTGTCGCCACTTTCGAGGCCTGCTTGCGGGGCCCAGCACGGTGACGCCACCCAAGTAGCTTACAAATCAAGTTGATTGTCCATACAAGTTTCGGCCAACTCCTCGTTTCCATTGATACACATGGGTTGGGTACGTCACAGGGTAATTATATCACGCGTGTTCACTAACCATGTCGCATCCCGCTTCGCCATCCTCGATGCTGGAAGCCGATCCTGGTGAGGAATGTGCCCGTGGCACAAGTTGTCGCACGTGGCCCCCAGGATCGATACACCTGCCTTACGTTCCTCCTCTTCCTTCTCCTCCTCTTCTTCCTCCTCCTCCTACTACGACTACGACTACTACTACTACTACTATTACTACTACTACTACTACTACTACTACTACTACTACTACTACTACTACTACTACTACTACTACTACTACGACTACTACTACTACTACTACTACTACTACTACTACTACTACTACTACTACTACTACTACTACTACTACTACTACTACTACTACTACTACTACTACTACTACTACTACTACTACTACTACTACTACTACTACTACTACTACTACTACGACGACTACTACTACTACTACTACTACCACGACGACTACTACTACTACTACTACTACTACTACTACTACTACTACTACTACTACTACCACCACGACTACGACTGCGACTGCGACTGCGAGTGCGATTACGACTACTACCATTACCAGTACGACTACTACGATTACTACGATTACTACGATTACTACGAGTACTACGACGACGACGACGACGACGACGACGACGACGACGACGACGACGACGACGACGACGACGACGACGACGACGACGA